TAGCTGTGTGTTATAGGGTTGCCTACCCTCCAGGATTGTCCTGGAATCTCCAGGAATAATTAATTATGTCATGAGATGAAACCTACAGGAAATACATCCAATCAAAATTGGCAACCCTAGAATGTTAGCATTATCAAAATAGCTATTAGATGTTAAGTTGGTAAGAATGTGTTTAGTGTTTAGACTTTATTAAATGCTTGTAAGATCTGTGTTGATCTCATTTTTAACCACTATAGCCCATGGTATAATGTTGTATTTTGAGTGTTTGCACTGTAAACCTCTGTAATTGTAGGTTTCAGAGTAGCAGCCATGTTAGTCTGCATCAGCAAAAAGAACAGGGATACTTGTGGCACTTTAGAGACTTACAAATTTATTTGAGCATAAGCTTTCATGGGCTACAGCCCACTTCATCGGATGCATAGAATGGAACATATAATAAGAAGATATTTATACATACAGAGCAAGAAGCATTAATTAAGGTAAAGTGCTCGTCCTGCATACGAGATGGCCAGTTAAAGGCAGACGGGGAACTGTGTAGCATCAAAGGACAGATGCCCTGTTAACTGCATTCCTAACTCCCTCCAGGAAGGAGAGATCTCCGTGTGAACATATTGTGACGGGTTCCCCTCGGGGTGCCACCAGGAACTGGGGTACCACTGAGCCCTCTGACCCACCAGCCTGCGCTCCCTCTCACACTGTGCTGCTGTGATAAGCTGCAGATATGCTCCCGGTCTTACATTTCCACCTGCATACATGCAGGTAAGGACACACCCAGCTGCAGTTACATGCAGGTGCTCTGACCAGCTACCACATGTGAACTAACAATAGAGAGACTACAGCCAAAATAATCCCCAGATTTCCAGCCTACGACTCCAGAGCAGTACCATCCTGCCCTGGTCCAAACCCCAACCAGTATGAATTTATTATCCAGTTCTCCTCCCCCTCAGTGTGGAGAGGAATATGCAACAGCCTCTCTGAACTAAGATTCCCACGCACTTCACTCCAAACTCACTGGTTTAGAGTAAAACACAAAATAAATTTATTAACTACAAAAGATAGATTTTAAGCGATTATAAGTGATAGCAAACAGATCAAAGCAGATTACCTAGCAAATAAACAAAAATGCAACCTAAGCTTAATATACTAGATAGATAGGGTAAGAATCTGCTATTCATATCCAAATTTATGGTACAGGCAGACTTGTAGATTCTTAAGGCAAAGGCCATGTTTTCTTTGCAGCTTGGAATTCCCAGATCTTTCATACACAGGCTAGACATCCCTTTAGCCTGGGTCCAGCACTTCCCCCAGTTCAGTCTTTGTTCCTCAGGTGTTTCCAGGAGTCTTCTTCTGTGAGGAGTGAAAAACAACAGATGATGTCACTCCCTGCCTTATATAGCTTTAGCATATGGCAGGAACCCTTTGTTTCAAAACTTGGTTCCCAGATTGGTTTGTGGAAAAATACTGACATCCCAAGATGGAGTCCAGAATCAGGTGGCCTGGTCACATGTCCTTGTAGAGTCATAGCAGCCATTACTTACAGGCTGTCTGGAATGTTCACAGGAATGTTAAGTTCTTCCAGGGTTCGTTGTATTTGTTGATGGGCCATCAGCACTGTCTGGCTTTTTCATGGTTGTACCAGAAAGGCTAGTTGTGGGTGTCACACAGTGTAAGCACAATTGAAATACAGATACATAGTCAATATTCCTAACTTTAGATACAAAAATGATACTTGCATACATATAAGATAATCATATTCACCAAATCATAACTTTTCCAATGACACCTCACATGAGCTGTCTTGCATAAAACACATCATAAGTATGCTAAATCATATCATATAATAATATCACGATGAAGAATATGGGGTGCAGTGTCACATGCATCCCATCAGTTTGGACTACGAAGTGGAAGGGATAATAATACCAGACAAGGAGAAACTGGATCTCTCTCTCTCTGGCTGTTTGGACTCTCACAGGGCTGGAGCTATGTAACAGAAGCAGAGATCCCCAGGGTCAACCTAGGTTAGCCCCAAAAGACATTGAGTGCTGACAGATTGCTACAACTCTGTCACCTTTTGGAACCATAGACTATAACTCATTTGTGGATATATGTTTGTCTGCTGTAACCTGTAATTAACTCTCTCTACTTTATCCTAGTTAATAAATCCTTAGTTAGTTTACTACGAGGATTGGCTACCATCATTGTCTGTGGGGTGAGTTGTGAGGTTCAGATAGACCTGGGGTAAGTGACTGGTCTCTTGGGTCTGGAAGCAACCTGACCCTGTTATATTCTTTCTTGTAATACAGTAACCAACTATCACTAAATCCAGCTCGCCTGGGTGGCAAGATAGACTGGAATGCCCAAGAGGACTGTGTGTGACTCCATGGTAAGACTGTTACAGTGATCCAGGAGTTCACATTTGTTACTAGGTTGGTGAAATCTAATTATAGAACACACCACCAGTTTGGGGTGTCTGCCCTGCTGTTTTGACAGTCTGCCCTGAAGTCGGCACTCACAGTTGTGAACCACTCCAGACTGAGTGACAGAAAAAAATGATTAATTTAAATTCCAAAGTGTACGTGACCAGGATCTCCACACCAGAGATAACTCTCCAGAAATCAGCTGAAATGGGGCTTTTTGTATAGATAGCTGGCTTGATTTTGATTCAACACATTTCTAAATCAGGAGTGAATTGAATTCAAGTGAAATTATGCCAGTGTAAAACTGGTGTAGGTGATGTCAGAATTGGGCCTAGTGCCTCCAAGGAAGCAGGACAGAGCTGTAAAAAGGTGTGTGGGGTTTAATCTATGTGTGATCAGCTCGAGCACAAAGCTGTAGGGGCAGCTAATCCTTCCGGGACGATGGAGCTAAGCCCCGCCAGTCACATCACATCCATGTTGTGTGGCTGACGTACTGCAGGGTGCAGTACCGCCTGCTGCCACTGGAGAGCTCCTGGTGAAGTTGCTCCTGCTGCTGGAAGCTGTGCTACACCTGACTGATGACATATGGACTGCAGGCAGCAGAGGTCGGCGGCTCAGAGCCAGGAATACAGGCTTTTGTGAAGCTGTTTCAGTTCTGCTCCACAAGGCAAAGTAGAGGGCTACCTAGGACTGGAAGGGACCTCTTGGGCCATTGACTCCAGTCCCCTGCTATCACAGGCAGCCTCGTCAGATAATCCTGCTCATAGACTTATCAGTCTCTTAAAACTAAAGCTAGGGATGTCTTGCATGGTCACTGGTGCCTCTACCCCTCTTGCAGCCCCACCATTTTTAATGGGCACCAGAGGCCACTAAACAGATTAAATACATTGTCCTGGCTCTGCAATGTTTGCAAAGTCCATTTACCATGTTCATGTTAAAAGTCAGACCAGTGTGAGATGCAACTGGACAGCTCCTCTCCTCCCCTTGCATTTATGTCATATATAATACAGGTAGCCAGATGCTTCGATGCCACCTGCTTCATCTCCCTTTCTCAGGACGATAGAGACTTCAACCTACGCAGCACGCAATGTGCATGAATCAAGACTCTCTTATGGCATCTGGATGGCCAGAGCGCAAGCACACATTCTCCTCACCAAAGCTTGCAGCTCCTGAGCTAGCCTTGCTCATTGGCCTCAAGCAGTGGGGGACTGAGTTACCCTCTCAGACCCACACTGAGTCAGCAGGACTGTGCTGCTGTTGTAATTCCCTAGCTGGCATCATGCACATCCCTCTGTTTCTTTCAGGAAAAGCTGTAAGTTAGCATTGGACAAGGTCTCTGTTCTGTAAATTCAGGGTTAGTTACTTCTCTCATAAATGCATTTAGAGTGACTCAGGTTGTTCACTCAAGCTCTGATCTTTAGCTCAGAGCTATAGAGCCTGTTATGAGAACTCAGAGGATTCAAACCTCTGTTTCTTGCTAGAATATGGTTATAAATCTTACTGTTTTTTCTCTTTAAGAGTCTTTGTTGCAAACTCAGCCACATATTTCCCGCTCCAGTTCCCTGCAGATTCACTGCGGGTATAAACAAGTATAATTCCATTGTGTCTTTCGGAATAGGGTTCATTTACAACAGGAAAGAATTTACCTGTTTGTCACCAAGCTGCAAGAAAGTACTTTCAAAGGGTTTCCTCTCCAGGGTGAAAATAGCATGAAATACTGTTGTTGGGCAGGTCGCATGGAGCACATACCAGCCCAAGCCGATGTGTTTCAGTGGATGTTAAATGTGCATCAATATTTTCCCCCCAAAATGTTCCTTGTTTTCAAACGTTACACACTACAAGTTCAGTCCAAAGTAAACAATTGCAGGGGCTTAGGCATCTATACCATAGTGCTGCAGAATAATCATTAGGACAGGCTACATGACATGGTATCCCGCGAGCCAAGGTTTAACATCAGGTCAGCTCAGCACCCCTCTTACACAGCTGATCAGAGAAGGGACATCAGAATGGCTGCCTGGGAAAGTTTGGCCTCCAAACCTAGAGGTCATAGGACCTCTTGGGACAGAATTAGCTCCCTCATGGTTTCCATATAGAATCTACAGGCAGCAGCACTACAGAGAGTGGCCACTCCCCTGCTCTAACTCCAATCCCCACACTGCTCCATGTGTGTGAACCCCTGTATTGTGCTAGGGAAAGGGGGATGGTAGTAATTACTCTCCCACCCCAGCATAGGGAGAAGGGGCTCTGTCTAGAGCTGCCGCCTTCCATGTCCCTTTATGCAGGAACACTCCAGCCCATACTTATGAACACTTAGAGGCCAGTATCTCTGAGATCTCCTCTATGTATCTGGTGAACAGGCCATCTGGAAGTGGCTGCATAAAATGATGATCTTACCCCGTCACTGCTGTTGCTTGAGAAAGGCAGGTAGGCTTAGAAAAGCCAGAGGTTCCACAGCTCACAAATGCATTGTTTTATTCAATTTCTCTTGCACGTTGAAACGTTAAAGGCCCACCGTTTGACTGGGTTCCGTGATCTTCTCCCCTTGTTAAGCCTGTGAAGCCAGACCGTCGTGCAAACATTAATTTTTTTTAACCAAAGCTTTCAGGACTTCACACATTCTTGGTGGGACCATTTCAGAGGCAAGGATTTGTAGCTGCCAGTTATGTGCTGTGAACCTCCTGTTTCTTGTATAGTTATTAAAGAGCAGTGACAGATTTACTCAGGGAATTCTAGAAGTCCTGCAGCTGTAATCCTGCCAGTGTAAAACAAAGTGGTCATAGTTGCAGGTTTCACTGGTGCCAAATTAATTTCGCTAAATGAAACTAGGGGAACAAAAAAGAATCTCTGTACCGTGATTATTTTAGATGATACATTAATTGAGTTTGCACCTGCCTAGAATCCTTGTCCACACACCTCCCCCATTATGCAATAGGGTTAAAATTGCAAAGGATCAAGGTACAGAGGGCCAGATCTTCAAAGACTAGTGCAGCAGTTGCACCAGGACAGGCACATAAATGCAACTGGCCACTTGTTAGTGCAGACACAGTGATTACGTGGGCGAGCTACATGCACAAAGGTGGATTTTGTAGGAGCAGCGAGAACAACTGTGCTCCAGTTCACCCCAGCTTTGAAAATCTGGCCCACAAAATTTTCCCCCATAATTCCACCATGGGGACACCTCTCTTCGGGCTAGATTGCCACAGCCCTTACTCACACACACAGGGGCTAAAAGGGAATTGGTTCCCTCTGACTCCCCTGGCTTGGCCCTGCTCAGATTGTGACTCCAGAGTGGTGAGGAAAGCACTGGCTACTTGTCTGACACACTGGGCTGTCAGTAAGCTGGAAAAGAAGGATGGAGACAGTGGGAGGCGCTCCCATTTGCCAGCCATAGTAGCTGTGGGGGTGAAGCTGCTCTATGAAAAGGAGTGAAGCAACTTACTCTTCTCTTGGACAAAAGAGGCAGGGAATTGTGACTGAGTCTCTGCTCTACTTGCCACCTCTTACTCTGGGTAGAGGCTAAAGTTACAATCTAGTCCTTTACAGTCCAATGAACAATTCAGATAGAGACCAGCAGAATGGATTGTGAAGACCAGGAGAGAACCAAGATGGCCTTACTTTTAAAAAACAAGAACAAGTTCTGTGTTGAGGCCATTTATTGTATTAGATAAACACATTCACTACAAGATGAGTAGGTTTGCTGATTGTAAGTAGAGAATAATTATTTAAAATAAAACAAAGTAGCCGAGGCACTTGTTACATGCAGTTTAAATTATTATCTATGCTCAATGCTGCAGCTGTTTCTAACACAAAACTTCTATTGACTTCAAGGGAAGTTATGTGACGTTGGGATTGCAGGATCAGGATTATGTGTGCATTAGAATAATGTGTGCTGATTAAAAGACAGGTGAGAAATTGCCAAGTTGACACTCAGAAGGCAAGAAATAAGGAGTGTTTTTGCTTTTGACACAGAAGTTAGCATTCCCTTTTACAGATAGCCCCAAAGAAACCTGGGGGTTATGCGAGTGAGGTGGCAGCAGACTGGGATGCATAGAAATCAGATCATGTTTGCATGATCAGTGAAGAAATGAAATAGCTGTGTAGATATGAACTTCAAATGGAAAGGTCTTAGATGACTGGGTAGATGCTTATGGAAAGCCTAAGCATAAGGATTTCGCCTTTTACCAACAGAAGGATGAATCAGGGAGGTTACAGCTGAAACAGAAATGCATTATTAGTAGAAAATAGACATATCCATAGATAGCGTCCCTTGTGTTGAATTCCTAAACAGCAGCTCTAAGGTGGTTACGTGTTTTGCTGGATTGGGGTTCTGTTTGTGACCCTATGGTAAGCCAAAGTATCATGGGTGCAGATAAACATTCACCAGAGTGTTCACACTGAAAATGGCTATCACAAGCCTCATTTGCACTGTCGATTGGCTGAGCAGTTAGGCGTGCAGATAACTCGCGAACAAAAAAGTGACTCTTGCCAATCAAGAGACTGATTCTGTTCCCCTTACTCTTGTTGGACTCTGTAAATAGTCCCAGTAAACTCAGTGTAAGATACTAGTCAACGTGACTACAGGTGACAAAATTGAGCCACCCAGTCAGGGAGCAGAAACAATACCATGTGACCGAGGCAATAACTCATATAGTGTAAAGAGATACTCGTAGTGCCCCAGCCAGGAACAAAATAGACAGCAATTTGTTTGCACACACTATGTTGAATAACGTTCACATTGTAAAAATCCACAACTGGCCAACAGAAACAAGAGCTAAACTTGTCAGCTAAATTACTGGCAATGGGTAATTCAACCAGGTCAGGTAGCTGGGAAGAGAGCTGCACTATCCAGGTAGATCCTAGCATCTATAGTAAACTCCTTTCTCCCAAATGAACACCAAAAATGGACAGAGGGTGAAATTCATCCCAGTGCAGAAGTTCTGCACAATACTCTCCACACCTCTTAGAGCCAGATTTGGATGCCCTTAGTCATGTGGAATAGCATCTTACTCCACAAAGAATCCTTCTGAAACCAACAGGATGATTAATTGAGCAAGGTGCTAACAACCAGGAGTAAGAACAGCAGAATCTGGTCCTTAAGGCAGGGGCTAAATGGTGAAGAGCATCTTATGGGGTTCCTCTGAAATGGGGGAATTTAACCTACCCTATAATGAATCTCAACCAATCCCTTTATTCCAACTTCACAAATAATTACAATAAATTAATACTTTGTACCTATATGCAGTGCTTCTTATTTATGGATCTCCAAGTGCTTTTCTGATATTGATTAAGCTTCAGAGCTCAGTGGGAGGCAGGCAGATATTATGGTGGCTCAGTTTACAGATGAGTAAAGTGAGGCACAGAGAAATGAAGTGACTTGCCTGGTCATGTAGCATGTCTGTGACAGAGCTGAGACTAGAAAGCAAGGAACCCTGATTCCTACTTCCTTGCTCCAACCATTGGATACCCCCCTTCCTATACAATGCACCCTACAACATGGAGGCAACCTTATCAAAGAAAGGCACCTGGCAGCATGGTCACAGAGTTGGGAATATAGGGGGCAAATACCCCCCTCTGTGTGTGAGTAGCTGGATACCTCCAGGTTTGGTGGAAACTGGTTCTTCACGGATGCACCCATGACTGCTCTAGTTGAGACCTAGCATCTGCAGGACGACTCCTGTAGGGTAAACTCCTTATTACTCCAGTAGTTCCTTGGACTCGCTTGAACAAAACCTGTAGTCACTGCAGGAAAGCAGCTGTGGGTGAATTTTTGCAATAGAGACAGGATTGAAAGTCTTCAGGGAATACAGAACCTAGGATTTATTTTTGAAGGGAATTCCTTTCCCTCCAAACCTCAAAACTGCACAATATAATCTGGGAGCTCTTTGAATCCCTTTCTCCTCCTTATCTGCAATAATTAGTGAATGGTTAACGGGGGAAATTGGGCAGATATTTATATTACAATTTTGTGAAAAGTTCTTCTATTAAAAGTACTTAATTTTGCCATGGCAGAATGCACGTTATAATTTGTTGCTAAATACTCTTCTTTCTTACTGACCAGTAGAAAAATATAACCCCATCTTATCTAGAGTAGCTAGTTCTGAGATATGTCTCTTCTTCTCTTGCCTTTGCTCCTTTAATCTTGTGCAACCCAGATGGGTAGCAGCAAGGCTGACTCTTAACAACTGTAAATAAAAAGATGGGAGCAATTGTACAGCTGATCATTTGAAAATTGTCACAAGTTTTGTGTATTTCATAATCGTGACCCTTGGAAGTACATTTCTAAAATACTGTAGGGGAAGTGTGTGCCTAGAACTCAGTTGGCCAAGAATAAGTTTGTGCACATCTCTCTACTCCACCGTATATACCTTTTTAGGACTTACATTCCCTGACATCCCAGGGGCAGAAATTCCCAGGAGACCTTGGTGGCATTTTACATAGTCTTAGACTATGCACACCTATAAGGTCTGGCATTTTCATAGCCTTAAGAACCACACAAAAATAACTGACAAACATATTGTAAGCAACCCATTGTCAAAGAAAGATCAAATGCCCTTATTGCTTTTCCAAGTACTGATAGCTACCCATCCCCTTATTTATTGGAAACAACACAGACAATATTCCTTAAGGAAGAAGAATGCCAGGTTGAGGTTTATATTAGAAGCTTTAAGGGAGCCTTATTGCCTAGAAAGCTTTTGTGCTATTCAAGTTACATCGTAATTTCTCTTGTTAATATGTGAAGGTTATAACAGAAATAGGCTGTACCATCAGATAGGGACACAATGATGTCTACAACCTGCTATGCAAGAAAATGTAACCAATATGCTGTCAGAGGTATTTGCACCACTCTGTATTTCGGTTTAATATACATTCACCTTCTCTGAATGAAAAGGTCTTCCAGATTGTGCTGTGAAAGCTTCCCGCAGTGTCCCTTTCAGTCATCCAGGTGCTGCTCCTCCCATGTGGAAGTTGGGATGGCGCTGTAAGGGTCCATGATGACTTTTGCACAGCGAATAATCATGACGATCAAGAAAAGGCAAAGGAAGACAAAACATGCTAATGTTAGTCCTTTGTCCACATCAACATATGCAGGCTCTGGTGTTGGCGCCTCCATTGTTTGCATCTCTCCTCATCCGGGTTTGTGCTTACTGCTACCATCATCATACACCTGCAAAACAATCATGCCGTCAAACAGCAGGACAGTTGATATGCATCATGAAGCATGGGGAAAATAGCATTTTGTTGTCAATGGCAAAACTCCCATTGACTTCAATGGGCAGGATTGCATTCTGGTGGGTAAGAAAGGCTGGAAATGTTATGGGTCAGCCGGCAAAGAGGGATATAGAACCCAGGTCTGGCTCTTCTGCGGCGATGCCCATGTTTGTTAAATTATCTCATTACTGTTTGCTCCTGAGAGGCTAATAAAGAGTGGCTGGTTTTATTTTTTTTTTAACCAGGAAAACAGTGTTAAAGGGGCACCATCAACTTGAAATCTAATCCATTGTTTGCTGTTAAAAAAAAAATCAAATTACCCCACCTGTCCCTACAGTCTCTTGTTTTTAAAATAGTTTACTTTTCACTGTTACTCTGTAAAAGACCCAGATAACTGTTAGGGAAACTGTCTATAGTCAAAGTGCTATCACTCACGCAAAGCAAACAAAGGGAAAAATAGTAAAAAAAACAAACTTTTTTCCTATACATTTCTCTTTCAGCTGCAGCAATTTTAGGAGTTACTGGCAATAATGGCAGTATTACCAGTTAATGCTTTCCAGGGGGGCAGTGTGACTTTTAAACTCACGGTGCATCAACAACCGCACTGCTCAGAATGGTGTGACTAGCGCAGGGTTGACGCACTATATCATCTAAGAGACTCTCAACCCCCATTATCCAAATTTGTGAGTAAAGTGGGCTTGAGCACAGAACAGTGTTTGCTGGCCAGTTGCCTTAGCTTGCAAATTCTTTAGCTCTTAACGCAATTGATATATATTGGAGCCCTAAAGGAGGGAAACTGATTCGACTTACAGAATGAGCGGTGGGAGAGATTTCCCTTGACATCCACCCTTGGTCAGGCTGGTGGATGAAGGAGGTGAGGGCGTCTTCTGGAAAAGAACAAGAATACTGATTCGGTCTTTAAACATCTTCTGCAACTTTGGAACTAGTCATCTATTAGCCCTGAACAGTTCCTTATTGTTCAATAACATTCAAAAACACTTCAACTGGGGGAAAGAAACTGGAGCTAGAATAAGCGTGGTGGTTTGGGTGGGAACCAGGCACTAATGCAGTGGAATATGCCTACAGACAGGTTCTGCCTACATTGGAAAGTTTTACTGCCGAAAGTTCTCCCAGAATACTCCTGCCAACACAGGTATTTTGGCAGAGTGCATTCACATTTGGCTGCTATTAAAAAAGAAAGTGCAAGGTGCTAGCTGCTTTGGGTGCAAGGTGCAGGTCAGAGAAGGTGTATTCAAAGCAGTCTTCCGTATTGTTCATTGGCTCTGAAATGAAAGGGACATGGTTGCCTGGAGCTCTTCATACTGACAGCATCTTTATAGCAATGATCCCCTGAGAGGTCTGTACAGAGTGGTGGGGAAGGTGCCCTACTCTGGCAGGAGAAATGTCTGAGCAAAGATCACATTCTACTTGAGTGAAAAGTTCAGTGAAATTGTCCCAGAGGGCCAGAAAGCTGTGTGGGCACAGATAAATGGGCACTTCCACAAGTGGCAGAGGGCCCCTATGACTGCCAGATAGCACTGTGAGCCAGTCCAAGCCAGCTCCCCACCAGTTAACCACACACTGTTTCTACCACTTTCCTGCATCTAATCACAGCCTTCAGGTAACGTGTTCTGGTCTTGAACACCTGAAAACAATCCGTTTACAAAGCATTTTCTACAAAATCATGTAGTTTGAATTGTCACTTATTGGTTTGCATTGAGCTTACAATCAATGCAATCGGGTTTTTTTTTAGTTTTTCTATGGAGTGCATATGATTTGGTTACCCACAAGCATTGCAGGAAGAAGTGTGTACTTTGAATGGAAGCAAAAGTACTGGCAAAAGGTTTGCATGTTACTGCCAGTTCATGCTCTTAAAATAAACCAGCTACTTTAAAACAGAATTCCTTTGTTCCTTGCAGAGTCCACTGCCATTTTGAGAGGGGGAGAGGAAAAAGGGAGGAGACTGAAGTTTCAGGAGCTCTGAAGAAAGTATGTTGTGCATTACTGGGGGGGAAGGGGCGGACAGAAAATTACACCTACCTCAGGCCCCTTCCCCAGTGTTGAGTTCTCTCTTTGGGTTCAGTTGGGTCTCCAAGGGCCCCTGGTTCTTGGTTGGGCCTGCATATTCCACATCCCTCTCCTCATTCAGCTTCTCCTCAGCCTGCAGGTCCAGGGTGCAATCCCGACTCAGTGTGGCACCGAACTCTTTATAATAGCGGTAGCTGTTGGGAGCAGTGCCAGACTTTCTGTTGTCCTCCTTTGCTCCTGGTAAACCTGCCACAGCTTCTTCCCCTTTGCCCACCGTTGGTTCTTGTCCCTGTTGTAACCCAGCGTCTGCATCTTCTTTGCAATGTCAACAGCTAGATCTTTGTTCCTGTGGGAAGTCCACAGCTGTGCCTGGGCAGCGCCTTTCCCCGACAGGCTGCAGCATACGATTCAGCTGGAGCCATGCTTGCTCAGCTGTGGTTGTAAAGGTGGCAGGCGGGGAAAGAGGTATTTCCAGAACATGCTTTACGGGGGGGCAGATTTCAGTCACTGTGACCCCGGGGCAGCAGAGTTAAAAACTTTGACCAGAGAGGTCACTGCTGCAGGAACTGTTGCATTGTGGGTTTGTTGCTGGAGGACTGTATTTGTCCATTCAGGTACTGCTGTGTCCACACAGGCATCCTGCCAGTAGAATCATACCGTCTGAAGACTGGTTTAATTTTACCAGCAAAATTTCAGGCTTTTGTTCGCAGGACTCAGATCTGAGTGTGGATGCAGGGAAGCCTGTGGTGAGACCAGTAACATTTTACTGGTAAAACTTTCTAATGTAGACTAAGCCACGGTGAAATGTTCTGAGCTATGGAGCCTTATCACCTTCACGCTCCAAAAATCTGGTGTAGGACAGTAATTCTAGAACTGTGCTATTCAGACTTTCCAAGGCAGTACTAGTGGTGGTAGAGGATAGCTGAGCCTCGCTCTGCTCTTGAGCTAACATCCAAAGGCATCAGAATTGAGAGCATTTGAATTGGGACTAAGAGCCCAATTCAGGAGAGCACTTAAGCTCAAGTTGACAACCCTTGGACTTCAAGCAGGTAAAGTTAAGAGCTGACCTGAATGGGGAAGCTGTCTGGAATCGGAGGTTTAAGTGACCAGCTAGCTTGGACTTGATTTTTCTCTCCAATGTTGTTATCCTGTTACAGATTCCCACATATGGATTCTCAGCTAGGGCTGGTGGGAAATTATCCATTGAAACTGTTTTTTGACAGAAAATTGTTTTTTGACTAAATGGAACTTCTCATGAAAAGTATTAACATTACACAGAAAATGTTGATATTTTATAAAAGACACATTCTATCTAAAAGGGTGTTGTGGTGTCTCATGGGAGTTATAGTTCGCATGCCTTATGCTCCTGTTCTCCTCCATGGGCTGGGCTCTCTGTCTGAACTACATCTCCAGCCATGCACCATGTCTAGATGCACCCCCTCTGCTCCCCACAGGGGCAGCAAGTGGTGTATCATGGGAGAGGTAGTGGAGCCAGAGTGCTACATCCACAGAGAAGAATGTGAGCATAAGGTACCTGAAATACAACTCCCATGAGGACCCATGGTGCCAGTTTTAATTGCATTTTTTCTGATTTGGGCTGAAATATTTTACCCTGCATTTTCTGCAGGGAACACCCAACTCCCTCCACCCCCAGCTATTTTCCCACCAGTTCTATTCTCAATGTCATAAATGAGTTCTGCATGGATCACATAATCACATGGCTCCCTTCCCTCTGCTCTCCGCATTAATTCATCCCTACACAACAGATGGTCCTCTGATTTGCCTGATCCTTAGTGACTTATGTCTCAGATCAGTCAAAGGAAGTGCTTCAGACCTTAGTCCTTGGAGGAATGGCCCAGCATTGCAAGTCACCCTGCTAACCCATGGCTTGACCAATTACCCACATTATTCCAGCCATTCACACTGCCAAAAGGGAAAAATCCTCTTGTAAATCCAGCCATACAGGAGTGTGCCTGTCTGCTGTTTGTGCTCATCTGAATGACATGATGGATTAGTTAGCAGAAGGTATTTGACAGTGTTGTGCACTGCTGGTTTCTGGAGTTGCTGGGGCATTACAGAAAACTGGCAGTGTAGAAACTGCATTATTACTACCAAGGATCCAAACAACACAAAGGGATTGGCTAAGGCAGCCTGATGTCACCAACCTGTTTCTCCTCCCCGTAAGGGTGCTAAACAACTCTCAGGACCAGGCCCTAAATTGCCATTGGAATCAGGCAGGAGACAGACAGTAGTGTGAATGAAAGGCGTTATCAACAAGACAGCACCATTACATAGCTGCTGTACAAGGACAGTTGATTGATTTCTTCATCTAGTAACACCCAGTAAATACCCCTTCTGAACACCATCCCCATGTATTTAACTAAGAGATTGCTGCCATAATCATCGTGTGATGGCCACCATAATCAGAGGGGAAGTGACCCAAATGGGGCCAATGACAGTAAACAGCTAAAGGATCCAGATACCACAGGAACAGCCCCCGCCCTTACATAAAAACACTCTGCATCTGAACAGAACAGAAGGGTTAACTCAGCAATATGACATAAAATGTACATTGGAGCTGAGTACAATTGCAAATAGTGGCAGGTGTGAGACCAGGGCATGAAATACTCAGTGACGCTGATGTTGTCAAGTGATGATGAGCAAGATTTGTGCCATGGTTCTCAAGCATGAAAAGCTGCTAAATATTCATGTGATCAAGACTAAACAGTACAAGCAGCATATGCAATACTTGTGGTGGGGGAATCCACAAGTATTGCTAATTATTGAGTAACGAACACACAGACCAGTACCATTCACTCTCCTAATGGCTGGATTATCTCTGCCTATTTTGGTTATTATTATAGCAGGTATTGTGACAAGACAGCCATCCATTTCTACTGGAAGTTCTACGACCCCGTGCAATGCTATCACTGAAGGTCTAATGCTTGTACTCCAGGAGGTATGGGGGAAATGAGAAAATTATTTTAGGATTGGGGGGGAAGGGGTTTGAGAATTAAGGAGCACATTATACCCTTATCCCACATGTGATATGTCCCTAAGACCTGATGCAAGTAGAGCAATAAGTTAATGAAGTATCTATTTTAGGACATGGCAAAATTCAGATGAAGTTAAGAGATGAGCAGAAGTAATCCAAATATCCTGCAGAGATGAAAAGACAAACTGCAGAGATATCAAAGGACAGGGTATATTTTCATATAGCACTTCAGTATAATGGACAGTGATAGTTATGGTAAGAATTGCTATTAAGGTGGAAATTTGAATGTGCAATAAAGACTACAGATCACAATTTTGAACCTGAGTCTTCAGTTGTTGCTATGCTTAAAAAGAGGTAACTCACAGACTTGGTTGCACACTTTAAATATAGCCCCTGATTTACATTTTCAGTGTTCCTGGGATCGGGTGTTCACGCCGCACTTCACCTGAAAGGGTTAAAATAGGTTAATTAGCCCCTTCCCAACTAATAGGCTGCACCTGTAGGAGAATCAGGCTGACTAGGTGAGCCCTAATAGAAGATGAAGTTCAGATGAGCCCATGCAGGCTGGGCTTCTAGAAAGCCAGCAAGGGGATGCAGGGGATGTTCTGTAGTCACTCCCTAGGAGAGCATGTGACTCTGTCCAGAACCTGAGTGGAGTGAACTAGCCACAGGGAGCTGGAGAAGAAGAGTAGGAAGGAGCATAGGGAAATAATAACAGAGTCTGGGAGTGAGCAGATTGTGGCTGCTGAACAGAGGGTCCCTGTGTTGGAACCCAGAGTAGTGGGCAGGCCTGAGTCTTCTTATCTGCCATGGAGAAAAGTGGCACTAGTCTTCAACTATAGGATAGCCTAGAAAGGTAACTGTACAGTTGATCCAGCGATCCTTTGGTACCCTGGGGAGAAGACACACAATGACCTGGCTGGAGCAGTAAGCCATGAAGAGGGAGCAGCTGAGGCATCAAGAAGGAGCACCCTGAGTTGCAGAAGAGAAGTTGCAGGGCTTGTGAATGAGCAGCAGAAGGGGGTATCGGATGTGGAAAGAGCTAATCCCCAGAATAGCCATGAGGAGGTGCCCTGGTGGTAAGTGAACCCTGTTGCAGTTGTCAGTTCTCACAATGTTACCACTAGTCTCATGATATTTGGAGCTTTATTTTTTTTTTAATTTTTTTTTTTTTAAACACACCAGCCCTTGAAATCCTCTGACTGTTGGAATTCCAGCTTCCCTTTAAAAAAAAAAAGGCTTCTAGACCTCGGAGTTGCAGAGAAAAGCTTGAAAACGTGACCTGAATGCATCTTAAAGGTACGAAAACCAGAAGGCAAATTAAAAAAAAAAACAAAACACCCAACTTTTTTGAAGTTTCCTGCTGTTCTGCCAGTCTCAGGAGTTATGGGGCCTGACTAATGATTAGTGATTTCTTTTGGATTAGCAATACTGTTGCAGGATCAGGGTCTTAATAAGCTCATTTGTTCTACCATCTCTCACTTGCCTGTTTTCTATTGCTGATGAACTCTCTAGTCCATAAAATCAGTCTTGTCTCCTACTGTTCCTTAGCAGGAAACTAAGCTTTACATGACTGTTTTATGTTTTTTATTTCTCTTTTATCAGTTAATAGATTTATTCTATAATACAAACATGGAAAAATCAAAGTCTCATGACCAATGTATTTCACTGACTCCACTGGTCAAAGCATTCAGCAGACAGCTACGTTCATTGAAATCCTAAAAATGATACAAGTGTTCAGTTTTCTGAATTCCGCTCCCTTGGCTGAGCTCTGTGCTGATGTGGAAACATCAGACTTATCATTGCTACTATTGGTATCCTGCTGCTGCCCCTGCTTTTTCCTATTTGAATCAGACTGCCAACTTACAATACACAGTAACTACCATCTTCTATATCATTGCCTGGGGAAGGGGAAGAGAAGTGGCATCAGCCCTTCCATTTAGGCCCCAATTCAGCAAAGCACTTCAGCCCATGTTTAAATACCGTTTAAGCATATGCTCGACTGCTTTTCTGAATTGGGGCTTAATAACCATTGCAGGTATCAGACAGGATCTGCAGCAACAGACTCCTTGACTATGTACAGGATTAACTGAGACTTTAGTCTAAACGTGTTTTCTGGCTCCTTCATGTGGGTCAACTCATGTCCAAAGTGAAACTCCCCATAATTATGTTGTAGTAAAATGGCAGACATGTACCCAAACTCACTGTGAGCTTCCCTGGGGCCACGTTTGATGCCAATCCAAAGACTATGGCTAGTGTACTGATCCACGAGAGGAGGTCTGCTTGATTAGGGTAGACTTCACAGGATGTGCTCTCAATTACAGCAGCAAAATGGATGTGGGTGTGAACTATGCCAGCTAAGAGAACCTAGGGCAAGAAAAGGACAGAACAAAACTTAATAAAAAAAAAAAGCCTAATGAAAACTCAGCAGTGTCCTAATTCATGAACATCTGAATACCTTAAAAACTAGAAGATAAGAGAATAACTAGAGGGAATAGATCAACTTCAAAGTGTTTTGGTATACAAATGTAAACACCATAGTGTAGTATACAACTAACCTAGAGTAAAATTAATAGCTTCTAAACAGCTGAATTTTTAAAGATAGCCTTGATTGAGGGCTTCAGTGATGAATGGGGCTTGGTGTGGCTCATTGCACTAGGGTGACTTTCAACCCCAGAGAATATAACTCTCCAGTTTCAAAAGAGAACACACCATAGGCTGAGAGTAACAGTTAATGTGATTTGGGAATACAGAAATGTACAAACTTGGATTGGTTCAAATTTGGGGCTCGTCATGGTTTTGTGCACTTGTGACAATCTGCTTCTTGCTTTCCCTCTCTTCCAGGGGGACGATCCTTGTACAAGCCCTATATATGATAGACTACTTTCCCCAGCATGTAGGACTGGGGGGAGAATGTCCCACCCACTAACTGCTACATGCATGGAAAGGGATGTAGCAGCCCCATGGAGGCTGTTCTTTCTTTTCTCTACACTGTTCCCTGTGCTGGCTACCCATACTGCAGGTGATACAGGGATACCTTATGGGCCCCAGTCTGGCTCTCTGAAATCTGTCAGGCAAACTCAATGATATTGAGATTAGCCCTTTCCAGCGGACAGTATAGAAATAGAACGGGTGTTAGACAATCAGATTGGTGGATGTCTGGCTATAATTTAGGGATACAGCCAATCGGCTAACAGTGGGCACACATGGGTAAGAGGGGGCTAGGGGAGGGAAATCAGTAAAACAGTCTGCACATCTATGAAACACTAGCCTTTGAATTGCAGTAAATGACTATACCTAGTCAGTCATTGTCTGACTGTTTGGCTGAAAACACTGAACAAATGAAAGGGAAATCCAGAAAACAAATAACTTCCTTATGAATCAAATTCCATGAATTCCAATGGAACTCCTCACCCCATACAATAAGATCTGTGCTCCGTTAACTGCTCTCAAACCCGAGGATAAATGAGCTTTGCAAACAGGTCCCCAGCTTTGACCAGGCTGGGGCCCTGTCTGTTATGCCAGGAGTTGGAGAGCAGCCCTGAATTGGGAGGGCACAGCTCTTGCCTGTTGCAGCCTGCGGGTGGGAAGGTGATGGTGGCTTCAGGCTGCAAGTTCTGTGCAGTACCTTTTCAAGGTGCAACACAATAAGCCGTTGTCACACTGCTGCATCAGGCAAAATAAGGAGTCACAGAAATCATCTGGTCAAACGAAATCAATGTCAGAGTATGGCTCTAGGAGCAAGATATTGGGAGCAATGCTGACTTACACCAGGTGAGAATCTGGCCAAAGCTGCTTAGTTTTGCTTTTATTTTCATTGAAGGCAAGATATTCCCCAGCTTGCTCTTCCTTAGAGGACTGCCACAATTGAGATGGCATCTTTTGTATAATGACCTAATGTCTTACAGACAAGCGCACAGAGGAAACAGTATTAATGAAATTTCTCTATCAGCTTTTAAACAGCCTCACCCCCACAGTGCAGCGAGAGTTGCATCTGGACAATGCTCATTCTCATCCAGGCAAGAAAAATTAATCATTTGAAATAAGTGCTGCTTGAGGCCTAATAAAGTTGATATGGTAACGACCTACCCCAGTAAGAATGCATTACAGGTGGATTGCATAAACATTAACAGTGCCTACTGTGGTTAATTAGTGTTTTCATAGAAATCTAAACATGAATTTCCATCTTGTTGGCAGCTGGAAGCACTGCGTGTGTGAGATTTATCAACACCCAATGAGCTGTTATGGGTTTCTTTCAGCTGTTTTATTTTTAGTCTTAATTTCTTTCATTTTAATAAATGGCTCTTAAATAGCTGCAGCAAGGAAGAAATCTGACCTTTTCATTTGGCTGCCTGCTGGGCTTGCCTCACCCTCATGTCAAGTGAGGTATATAGAATTCTTCATAGCTCTGCCTCCGTTTTCTTCTAGACTCTGCTCACTGCTGAGAGCTGGCTGGAGAGTCTGCTGTGAGAGCAATTTAGGGGGATGGCTCAGGGAGATATCTGGACTGTGGTGTAGCCAGAACAGATGCTTGGGGCTTGAGCTGTATCTTTCTGGGCAGTCACCAAGCACATAAAACACCTATATTCTATTCTAATGAAGCAAGGAGAAGGGATGCTGACAGGAGTCAAGCAAAAGATAAAGGTTGAGACTAGATACAAGGTCAGTTTATCTTCTATTTCTACTGCTCTTACTCTGGTGTGTAGCTTTACTGACTCCAGTGGAGTTACTCTGAATACATGCTGGCCTCAGTGAGGGGAATGAGACCCACAGTATATTAATCTAAGAGTCTGTATTTACATGACTGATAACAGTGTGTGGAATTCTCCCTGCCTTCCTCTGAGAGCTTTTAGAGCCCTTAATTTGGCTGCATCCAGAACATCCAAGAGTGTATGAAAACATTTGATTGTACTTCAGAATGGCTTGTTTCTGGTTTTTGATGAAGATTAAGGGCCATTCTTAATTTTATCCAAGATGGTTTGCTCAGCCTCCAGCTGGAAATGGACTGTGTCACTTACACAGGCTTTTGATCAGAAGTAACTCTGCTTAACGGAATACCCAATTACATGCAGATCATAGTCAGGCCTGGTGAAAGACCCATTTTGCAACAATCCCCAAGCAACAGAAGCAATCTGTCCTAGTGGGTGCACGCACATCCCCTAAGCTCCCCGGTGTCATTAGTCCATCAGACAAATTCCTAACTGCCCTTTGTATCCAGCGCTCTCTTCCCTGTTTAACAGAAAATTTTCTCTCATTTCTTGTAATAAAATATAGGCAGTGTACAGGGAGGGGAGGACAGGGAAACCATGTTGGATTTCATAAATACAATTGCATGCATACCTTCCAGATATGAGGCTTTCAATCGTATGTTAGCATTCCAGTAATGTGGGTCTAAGTCCCAGTTGTGAATGTACCTAAAGTTTCGTTGGTGCTCACAATGGCTTTACCTGCATGCAGACGCTAATCAGATTCACTTCCACGCAGACCTGGAAGCAGTTCTATTGTCACCTAGATCGCCTGCAAAACAAACAAAAAACCTCCTTTGCACATGCACAGTGAATGTTACCGATTTCCATTACACTGCAGGGACTCTCTGTAGCAAGAGACTGAGGGGGCATTCGGTCCGGATCCCCCTGATTTAAAGGAGAAACTCCATTTTTATTCATATCCAACTTTTCCCCAAAAGAACATCCCTGGTACAAAAATGGGGATTTTATTTAAATCCAAAATTCTTGATGTATTTTTGTAAACAATGTTTCCTCCAGAGCGAAAGATAAAGTTATAAGTTAATAGGTCTCTGGAATCTGCCGCATTTCCTCGGCTGCCTTTTAGAGCTGGCTGGACATTTTTTTCTTTTCCCCTCATCCCCCACCCACTCCCAAAAACATTTTTCATTGGAAAACACCAATTAGTTGAAAATAAATTTCTTTGCAGAAAAGGGTCAGTTTCCATATGTTTTGGCTCAATTTTTTTTAAAGACGTTTGAAATTGTTCATGTTTCACTGCAAAGTTTTCTCTAAATAACTGTTTCGAAATGGAAGCCAATTACAGTTTTTTTAAAAAAGGATGTTCTGAATTTTTTTTTTAATTTTTATTTTGTGAAAATTGAGGTTTTTGACTTTGTCCCAGTTCAGGAAATGTTTTTTCCCCTGTTTTTATTTATTTTCCCCCTCAAAGATCCTATGATATCAACCAAAGAGGATTAGATACAGCTCCTCCTGAGTGCATCAGTGCCACCGTCCACTCAAAGGGGTTTCTCATGTGTATCACAATTTGCTCCTCTGGCTAGGGACTCAGTGTGTTGCCTCCTTTAATGCTTCTAACCTCTGCTGGGCCATAGAATTAGAGACTGGACTCAACACTCAAATTCAGATTCTCAGTTGATGCTAAACCCCAGGGCCAGTCCTGCCCCTGAACTTTTTAAGTAACTGTAATCTCATCAGCTAATATAAAAATTGCTCAAATAGTTGATCTCTTTTCTCAGTTTTGTCCCCAGATGCATGTCAAATGAATTCACCACTAATTTAAACTTCAGATCTATAAAATAAGTGACTGGACACTTAATCCTACCATAATATTTCTAATAATTCAACTTTATAATCCGAGACAGTAAATATTTAATGGAAGTGAAATACTGTGGTTGGATCCAGACTAACTTTTCGGTGCCTAGAAAGTAGGGTTGTAAAAAAATTAATTGCACTGTTAAACAATAATAGAATACAATATAATTTAAATATTTTGGATGATTTCTACATTTTCAAATATATTTATTTCAATTACAATGCAGAATACGAAGTGTACAGTGCTCACTTTATATTTTGATTACAAGTATTTGCACTGTAAAAAACAAAAGAAATAGTATTTTTCAATTCACCTCATACAAGTACTGTACTGCAGTCTCTTGACCATGAAAATGCAACTTACAAATGTAGGGTTTTTTGTGTTACATAACTGCCCTCAAAAACAAAACAATGCCCTCAAAAACAAAACTTTAGTGCCTACAAGTCCACTCAGTCCTATTTCTTGCTCAGCCAATTGCTAAGAGAAACAAGTTTGTTTACGTTTATGGGGGATACTGCTGCCCACTTCTTAATTACTGTGCCACCTGAAAGTGAAAACAGGTGTTTGCATGGCACTGTTATAGCTGGTGTTGTAAGATATTTGTGTGCCGGGTGCGCTAAATGTTCATATGCCTCTTCATGCTTTGGTAGGGTGACCAGATCACAACAGTAAAATATC